GGATTTCTCTCTCTCTCTCTCTCTCTCTTAGCTCCATGTCTTTAACTCTAGGAGTCTACCTGGCTCTTCCTGGGATTCCACTTACTGTACTAGGTACTAGAAAATCTCACAAGGCAATAACTTGAGGCAAATGCAGAGATTACCTCATTTCTTTCCATTTTTCAGGGATCGCTGCCTTTCACTGTCTGAGGTCCAGCACCTTAAATCAGTTCCTTGGTTGTTTCAGAGGGAAAGTTAAAAATGGTCCCTGCTACTCCATTAAACTTTTTTTCTAGTAATCTCTAGACCCAATACGGGGCTTACCCTCACAGTCCCGAGACTGAGTCACGTGTCCTTCTGACTGAGCCGGCCAGGCACCCCAAGGCTCTGTTAACTCCATTTGGGTTGAAAGTAGAAGCCTGCTTGATCCGGCTCACTTGATAATATTCTACTACTTCAACATCTACAACTAACTTATATCTTTCCCCCAATATGCTCATTCTCCATTGTAACCTTACTGCTGTTACTCTTTCTTAGTCTTGTTGACTTAAAAGCCCAGTACCATCTGTTACTGTTACTCTTTTCGCCATTTTCCTTTTTCTGTCACTCACTGTGTCCTGTGAGATCACCTTAGTAGTATTTCTCATGCCCATTCCTTCTTCTGTAATTCCTGCAGCCACCACCTTACCGCAGACTCTCATTCCATCTGGAGACTGGACAATTGGGAGCTGGACTTGTCAACTCCAGCACTGCTCTCACTTCCCATCCCCAACACTAAACACAGACGTGCGCGCGCATGGGCACACACACACACAGACACACACACACCATCTTATAAAAAAATCTATTGTCTGACTAATCTTTTTAAAGCCAACCCAAGATTATCTGGTTTTCTGTGCCAGTTATTTAAGGGACTATCAAATTTCCAACAAGGGTGACCTTAACTGGTGTGAAGAATATAGACCAGTTTGTGGGTAAGAAATCAGAATAAGACAGGACGAATATAGAAGCCCACATAACCCATGATAAGGAGAACATTCAGGCTAAGCGTGCCATCATGTTACAAATGACGCCTGGGGCCACAGGAAGTGATGGGATCATCTAGGGGATGTGCAGAGGGGGAAGAGGAAAGTCCAGGAAAAGATAATCAGATACACTAAGAGGAATGCATAGAGGGGCTTAAGAGATTCAGAACAGACAGGGAGGAGGAGAGAACATATTACTGCATTTCTTTCAACATGATATACTTGCTCCAAGTTCACAGATTCAGCATTATTTAATAATAAACACTCAAAGAGACATCTGCAAAAATAGTAGAGTAAGGATCTCTGAAGATACTCTTCTTCATACAAAAAAAAAAAAAAATACCCACAGAGAAAAAACAGGGTGCTTGGGTGGTTCAGTTGGTTAAGCATCTGACTTTGGCTCAGGTCATGATTTCGCAGTTTGTGAGTTCGAGCCCCACATCAGACTCTGTGCTGTGCTGACAGCTCAGAGCCTGGAGCTACTTCAGATTCTGTGTCTCCCTCTCTTTCTGCCCTCCCCTGCTCACACTCTTGCGCTGTCTCTCTCTCTCTCTCTCTCTCTCTCTTAAAAATAAACATTAAAAAAGAGAGAGAGAAAACCAATAAAATTCATCAACATCAACTTTACATAACTCCATAAGTTAACTAAAATTCGTATCAATCTGAAGAGATTTATTCAAGAAATACAGCTAAACCTTGGTAAGAATAATTCCCCTTGCCCTGGTCCCGTGCTCCATATTCCAACTCCTCAGTAGCCTAGAAACATGGCAGCCCGCATTTACAGGGTGTCCTACACGCCAGTGGGCTTGAGGGAGCAGAAAAGAGGAGGGATGGGAAAGAAACCGGTGTATTTGACTTTAACTCAGAGCTCTCCGAGTTTGAAGAATCTATTGCCAAGGGCCACTTACAGAAAACAACTACATGCAAGCATATTAACTGCACTGCTGCCTCAGCGCTATTTAACAATTGGGGCAAAAGGAAAAAAAAGAGATTAACCAAAAACCCTAGAAAACAAAGATAAGAACTGAGATGTCCACAGGGTCTTTGAAAGGCTCTAACATACTGCTAGGAATCTAGATGTCCATGCACATGTACAGGGCTCTGAACATTCCTAGGGCTGTGCATATACTCAGGAAAGACCTGAGAAGGCTGTAAGGTCTCCCTCCTGGCTGCCTTTAGTGTGTAGATTAATGTTTTACATCAGATTTGGGAAGTTTTCGGCCATTGTTTCTTCCATTATTCTTGAGTACTTGCGAGGCAGAAAGTGAAGGCTAAGACAGGGTTGCCAGCTGCCTGGCTGAGCACAGGAGGAGTCCCCCAGCGTGCACACGGGCCTCCAGCAAAGACTGGGAGAGAGACCGGGCCCCGGTGTTTATAAAACAAATCTCTGCACAATCACTAGCTGACTATGAAGCTAACAAAGTTGAGACCAGAGACTTCAGTGACCACACATGGCAAAGAAGACTTTGCAGATTAGTTCAGAAAAGCTGCTAAAGAAACGAACGAAAACTACAAGTAGCAACAATAACAAATCCTGGAGAGGAGGTGAATTTGATTACCAGAGTTGCCAATTTATTTGAAATGTCTGGTTTTTGAGAAAAAATGTTTGACATTCAAAGAAACACAAAAGTATGACCCAATACAAGGGGAAAAAAACAGTAGAAACTGTCCCCTGGGAAGCCCAGATGTTGAATTTACCAGATTTAAATAAACTATTTTAAATACGTTGAAGGCCGAAAAGAAACCATGTCTAAATAACTAAATTATGTAGATGATGTCTCATCAAATAGAAAATGTTAAGAAATTCAAAATTATAAAAAAAGAACCAAATAGAAATTCTGAAGTTGAAGAATAAAATAACTGAAATGAAAAATTCACTAGAGGGTCTCAAAAATAGATTTGAGTAGGTGGAAGACAAAATCCCTGAACCTGAAGATAGGTCATTTAATATCCAGTCTGAGAAAAAGAAAGCAGAAAGAATGAAGAAAAGTGAACAGGTTCCCAGAGACCTGTGGGACACGGTAAATAACACTCAGATACACATGATGGGAATCCCGAAGCAAGAGGAGAGACATAAAGGGGGCAGGAAGAGTCATTGGATGAATATCTCAGTAACCTAACTTTCCACCTTAATAAACTAGAAAAGGAAGAAAAAAGTAAATCCAGAATAAGCAGAAGGAGGGAAATTACAAAGAATAGAGTGAAAATTAATAAAACAACATAGAAAAGTAAGAAAATCAAGAAAACCAAAACTTGTTTCTTTAAAAAGATTAACGAAATTGATAATCCTTTAGCTAAACCAAGAAAAAATGAGAGAAGATTTAATTGCTAAAACCAGAAATGAAAGAGGGAACATAACTAACTCAGAAACTATGAATAATCACATGCCAAAAATAACAACAGCAACGACAACAAACTAAAAGAATAGAACAATTCCTAGAAAACACAAAGTATTAAAGGTAACTCAGGATATGGAAAATCTGAGTAGACTTATAACAAGTAGAGATTAAGATAGTAATCAAAAACTTTCCTGAGGGGCCTGGAGTGGCTCAGTCGTTAAACATCTGACTTCAGCTCAGGTCATGATCTCACAGTTGATGAGTTTGAGTCCCACATCAGGTGAACTGGAGCCCTGCTTCAGGTGAGCTTGTGCCTCGCTTTGGGTAAATCACAAGCCCTGGGTGAGCCCCACGTTCTCTCTCTCTCTCTCTCTCTCTCTCTCTCTTTCTGCCCATTGTGGGATCATCCCTTTCTCTCTCCCTTGCTCACTTGCATCCTCTTTGTCTCTCAGAAAAAAAAAAAAAAAAGTGTCCATAAGTAAAAACTCAACACTAGATGGCTTCCTTGGTGAATTCTACCAGACATATTTAGTATCGATCCTTCACGAACTCTTCCAAAAAATAAAAGAAGAAAGAGTACTTTCCAGCTCATTTGGAAGCCATTATTACTCTAATAACAAAACCAGGCAAAAATATCTCAATAAAAGAAAACTGTAGACCAATATTCTGTATTAACACAGATGCAAAACTCCTCAGTAAATTCTAGCAAGTACAATCCGGCAGAAAGTAAAAAAGGTTTATACACCATAACTAAGTGGGATTTATCCCAGGAATAGGTTCTATACCAAATTTATCCCAGGTAAGTTCTATATAAGAAGATCAGCTCTTTAATCCCCCATATTAATAAAGGGAAAAAGAAAAAAAAAACTATACGATCCCCTCAAAAGACACAGCAAAGGCATTTGTCAAAATCCAACACCCTTTCCAGATAAAAACACTCAACAAACTAGAAATAGAAGGAATTTCCTCAAACTAATAAAGGGCATAAGCCATAAAAAGTAATGAAATATTCATACGTGCGACATGGATGGACCCTGAAAACAGTGTGCTCGGTGAAATAAGCCAGTCACAAACTTCACATGTGATTCCATTTATATGAAATGACCTGAGTAGGCAGGTCCATAGAGACAGACACAGACTCACGGTCGCCAGGGGCCCGGGCGAGGGAGGACGTGGAATGACCGCTAATTCGTGTGTTTTCTTTCTGGCGTGATGAACATGTTCTAAATTACACTGTGGCGAGGGTTGTACACCTGTGAGGACACTACAGACCAATGAACTGAACACTTTAAAATGGTGACATTTATGGTATGTGAATTACATTTCACTATAAAGAGTGTTTGATTTCGAGATTTTATTTCTTCTTGGCGCGCGTGCCCGCACACACACACACACACACACACACACACACACACACAAAGAAAATAACTTTTGACTAAAAAAACTCTTAGAAGTACTCATTGAATTATAATCCATGCCTTAGAGGTGGTGATGCCACCTTCAGGCAAAATCTTCCATTTTGAAGTTTACACGGCAACGGAGAAAATTGGCAACTTTAACATAAAGTAATTTAAGTTACAACACTATTTAAGAAAATATCAGAAGTCATTTTTATTCACTTTTTTTATAGAAAGGAATTCTCTCTTTCAAAGCTCACCTCATGTCAATCACTTGACTCACGACAACGTTGGGTTTTGAGTCTTTCTCTTCATCCATGTTATAAAGGAAGAGTTTGAAGTCACACACTATCGCCAGTGCTCTCTGCCATCCTTTTTTCACCCCTGCTTTCTTTGGGATCTTTAGTTTTGATTAAAAAAACCCAAAAACAATGTAAGTTAAAACATCAAATACTATCCAATGATTACATGTAAAATTAAAATAATAAACCTGTGTTATAAACCTGTCACTTAGTAAAGGTGGGGAGCAGAGTTGTATAACATAATTGAAATTTTAAAAATCAAGGAAATTCCTTTGAAGACTGAACATCTCTTGTGAAACTAAGACTGACACCATTTCAGTTAACACTGGAAATTCATTCAAATATTTTCTTCTCTGGTAACATTAAATTTAAATACGGGAACTCCATGCCTCAGATTCAACTCAGATTTTCAGTATTTCTCAAAAAGATCATTTCACTTTTAGTCTCATAATTGGTTATCGCTGACTGGATTGCAAAGTTACTTCATTAGTAGGGACTTCAACACTTGTTCATCACAAGATAAGGCATGAACAGAAAACTCTGGTACACTTAAAAATACCCTATTGGAGAGGCGCCTGGGTGGCTCAGTCAGTTAAACATGTGATTCCTGATCTCAGCTCAGGTCATGATCTCACAGTTGGTGAGATGGAGCCCTGCATTAGGCTCTGTGCTGACAGAGGGAAGCCTGCTTGGGATTCTCTCTCTCTGTCTCTCTCACTCCCTCCGCCCCTCCCCCACTTGCTCACACTCTCACTCTCAAAATAAGCAAACATTTGAAAGAATAAAAAATAAATAAAAATATCCTATTGGGGAGAGCTAAATTTTGTTCTGAAACTATCTTCTCAGGATGGAACAAGTATATTCAATTGAATATAATTTGTATTGTATAATCTGTTATAAATACTATATAATATTTATATATATTTTTACAAATGTGCTCACAGAGTGCGAGGTGATTAATAATTTTTTTAAGAGTTCATCTAAATCAGGGGCGCTTGGGTGACTCAGTCGGTTAAGCGTCCAACTTCAGCTCAGGTCATGATCTAACGGTTCATGAGTTCGAGCCCCATGTCAGGCTCTGTGCTGACAGCTCAGAGCCTGGAGCCTGCTTCAAATTCTCTGACTCCCTCTCTCTCTGTCCCTCCCCTGCTCGTGTGCTAGCTCTCTCTCTCTTTCTCAAAAATAAATAAACATTTAAAAAAATTTAAGAAAAAAGAGTTCATCTAAACCCAAAATATTGACACTTACCCAGACGTGGCCTTCATAGGCTGTTCCCATGCCTTCCTGTGGATCTAAACGGAGGGCAGCTTTCTTTTGCTGAGAAGACACTGGACAGTCTTGTGGAGCTTTTTCAACACACATTGTGTGACAGGAGAACCCACATGCTTTTTGAAGGGAAGAAAGAGACATGATCGCAGTAGACAGAATGGTTGTAGTCCCTTGCCCTCCACTGCAATGCTGCCTACACTTGTAGGGGTCAAAATGCTAACAACTACATTTCCCAGACTCCCTTGCGACTGAGTTTTGGCCCTGATGGAAGTTCCACTAAGGAAGACTTCCTGTGAGACTGAGTTGAGTGGGGCTGGGAGCGTGCAGGTCGCAGGGCATCCCTTTTACTGGAGGGATCCTGACTGCAGGACTTGTGGTCACAGCTGCAGCGGTGGCGTCCCAACTCTGTGGGAGCCTTCATTAGTCTGTGGGCGAGGGCCTGATCCTGTAAACTCTGCCGTCCTGGGGGCTTTCCTTATCCGGGCAGGAGGAACAGGTTCTGGCAGCTGTGGCCATGGGGGCCACTCCTGGTTTGTCATCTTTTTCTGACCCAGGTCAGTGGAGCCCGAGCCACCCTGAGCCTCAGCTCGGAGCCAGCCTCCGCAGCCCTGGAAGGGTATCATGAGCACCTAATGCTCCATGTGTAGTTCCGTTTTGTGGAAGGCACTAGGTCGCGTTTATGGTTAAGGTGGTCCTGACTGTGGCCATGCTGAGGGCAGGAAAGCTGTCCCACTCACCGCTGTGTCGTGGGGCGAGCCCTCCAGGACCGGCTGAGGAAGCCAACAAGCCCAGAGTCCATCTGATGGAGCGAGGAATGAGGAGTCGCCTCAGCACAGGGACCCACTGTCTGAGATTTCCCAAAGTACCTTGCTCCCTTTCAGTGATGGTTACCACAGTGAATGAAATGGGTCAAGCACAGCAGTGACAGCTCAAGCATCCCATTTTCCTTTCACACAAGCTACTGACTTGGGTCCTCGAGCTCTCCTAGTGCTCCAGAGGACAAAATCCATCCAAATGCATTTTCGCAGTAAACATGGCCCTGCCTGCGGGCTACTCAGCAGGACTCCCGGGAACAACATTCACACAGGCTGTAAGGGGGCGAGGTCCCTCTGAGTTACACAGTGCCAAGTCCCACCCCAAACATGCCCAATAGCCATGGGTCCAATCTTTCCAACACGCAACAGAGAGATTCTAAGGGGTCACCATACTGCCATGCTGCTACAAAGCAAAGAGAACAAATTTGTTGCCAAATAACTTATTGCAGTGGACTGAATGTCTGTGTCCCCCCCACAAATTCCTATGTTGGGGGCATTAAGAGGTAGAGTCTGTGACAAGCTCAGATCCTGAGGCCTGAGGGTGGAGCCCTCGTGAGTGGGCCCAGTGCCTGTGTAACAGAGGCTCCCAGAGCTCTGTGGCCCCCTTGCCTTGCGAGGGCACACCCGGAAGTCAGCAGCCTGCCCCCCTGAAGGGAGCACTCCCCAGAACCCAACCGTGCTGGCGCCCTCATCTCGGACTGCCAGCCTGTGAGAAACACATTTCTGTGTTTAAAAGCCACTCGGTCTACGTAGTATGCCGGGGTCGGGGGTAAACCCCTGCGGACTAAGACCCTGAAGTGTAAGGCTCCTGGCCCTGGCCTTGCACAGCCCTTCCTCGGGTCTTACCGTCACAGGCATAGCCTTGTCTTATCAAGCCCACCATCAGAGACGTGCACTGGTGACACTTGGTGGGAGCAGTGAAGGTTGTGAGGAAAAACCGGTGGCTCTTACTCTACAAAACAGAGACCAGACATGCACTAAAGGGGACTCCTCTGCCCTCCTTGTCCAAAGTGCCATGTTATATACAAAGAAAAGCAGCTCCGCCACCTCCCCACCAGACTTTAAGATTCTTGCTCCCTAATTACTTCAGGATTAGGAAACGCTGAGCAGGAGATCCAAAACATTACCAAGAGGAGGAAGATGGGAAAGAGGAGAGGGACCTATTTCATCGGTGATCACGTGATCATTAACACTGTTTGGAACCAAGTAAACCAGGCCTGGCTTTGATTTGTGCCTATATATCCTGAACCTTGGAAAGGTGCTTTCTAGATTGATAAGTTCTCCCAATGATCCCTTAACAGTGGATGGAGCAAGAATTGCCTTGTGTACATACTTTCATTTGGAGGCAGGGGAAGGCAAACAAAAAATAACATGGTTTTTATACCTTCTTTGGAAAGAAAGAGTAATTTCAGAATTCACTTTTCTACTATTCATAAGAAATAGTCACGACTTGGGAAGCTCCTATGAAGCACGCTGTGTCACTCTCTGAGACAGAGGGCATTCTGAATTTTCTACCTGAAACTCCAACAAGAAATTGGTAATCCACCGCGGATCATCTGTTTCTTGATCATGCCTCTTTTCCCTCAAAATCACTGCTACCATAAATTAGCAATGTGTAAAGCAAAAAGAAATCTGGCTTTTCCAAAGGCTCGCTGGCAGATCTGATCCCCTCCTTTGTGTGTCTGTTTCCTCATCTCTAAGGTGGGCAGAATGGCAGAGAATTCCAGGTCCTGCCATGAGCACCAGGTGTGTGTGCCCGGCTACCTGCTCCCGATTCACACTTCAGGCTCCCGTGTACAGAGCCGAACAGCACCCCCTCCTTCTAGGTCCCCTGGAGGGACCTTCTAGGCTTCCAGGGGATCAACTGTCTTGTGACTCTTCAGTATTTCCCTATCGCTCGACATTCATATTTCTCAGCTCTGCTAACCTCACCCAGGCTTTCATCTTCCAAAGTTATGTTGACTTAGTTGCCTGCTCTTTTTTCTCCCTTTATTGGCTTTCATCACAAAGCAGAGATGTTTGCATTTTTTAATATATTATGATTAACCAGAAGTCCCCAGGGGAAAAAAAGGAAGGAAGCCAGGAAAGAAAGAGAAAAGTACTTTTGATACTCTGATTGATACTGCCTCACAATACATTAATTTTAACAGAACACGTCATTGTGTTTATCTTATTCTCAGTTTTCTCTTGTATTTATTTTTGTTGATCTTGGCACACGAGTATCTTCTACTACTTTTCTAGGTATTCATTATGTAATAGAGCTAACCCGTGTAATTTTATATATTTGCCTTATGTTCAGATTACCTTATCAATTTTAGTAGGTTTTTTATGAAAACCAGAGTCTCTTAGGTTTTGTGGGGCAAACAATCTTATCAATCTTATGAAAGAGTTTTCTGTTCCAATGTTTATTCCAGTCATTTTATTTTCATTTTTATTGCATTTCCTAGAAACTACTGAATACTAATGGTGTTACGGAGTAGTTCTGTACCATTCCTGGCTTTAATTGAGAAGATTTAGTGTTTCATCATTTACCATAATATTTGCTATTAGGGTTGGGAAAACAGGTTTACAGTATTTATGAATTTCTCTTTCTTTCTATTTGTCAGAGCTTCTGGTTACTTACTGCTAATAAAGAGGAATGCTTTGAATATTTTTAATTATTGGTCATTTTTAATTATTTGTTAAATAAGCAGTAGGCAATACATTAATCTGGTTCAAAAAACAATTAAAGACTTTATTCCAAAATTATAAGATTTTCTAGTACATTTCTACTAGTTATGTGGTTTCAGGTTTACATTTAAATTGTGCCTAAATTTGGAATTTATCTGGGAGTAGGTTATGAGATAACAGGATACAGATCCCTTGAGCAGATTTCAGGGAAAAGCTCAAGTTAATTAGTTTATCATCATTTATAATTTCTAAATAGGACTTGACAGACACAACAAAGCCCATTTAATAGGAACAACATTCCCCTGAAATTGTCACTAAATATTTTACCCCATCTTGGCTGTTCAGACCTTAAGGAGATTTTTAGAGTGGGATTTTCTGTTGTGTTAACTTTTAAATCTGATCTGAGGTTTCACGAATGTAACTGCAAGAAAAATTTTGGTAAATGCCAAGATAGTAACAGACAGCAAAACCAATTATTCTCATTTTTAAAAGAACCTGCTAAGCTTATAATTAAATCGGGTACCTTAGTTGGAAAGAGGATACTACTGTGATATTCCTTTTTCTTTATTGTTGGCGTATGAACCGGTAGATAAGCAGAGTCCACAATCTGAAAGAAGGAGAAGACAAATAAGGACAAGTTACACATGTCTCCAGAATTCCAGGACTCAATCCCAGAAGGCAGGCGAAGGACGTGCAATTGTTAACAGACACAAACATAGTAAAACTAAAATTCTTGCAGTGGTGAAAATAGAGTTTAAGTAATTTAAATATAGGTTTCACTTTCTACAAACAAAATAGATGTGTATTTTATACAATTCATTTCAAATTGGCTGTTTTAAATTATGTGTCATCACACGTAGACTACATTAAAAGCTGAATGCCAATCATAAATATATTTGAAAGGGACTTTTAATAAGTAGATATACGCTCAGAATCCTCAAAAGACTCTTTGAAATGCCTGTTGTATAAGTGTAAATGGGGATTTTATGGCCGTACATATGTAGAAATATATTAAAATCAATTACCAAGGGTTCAGCAAAATTTTGTGAGTACTAATAATCTATGTAAAAATATGCTCAGGTAATGTAGTTCACCTTTATGTAGTTAGACTTCAACAACTATATAAAGTCTTGTTGTCTGCATGATTTAAGGCACTTCTTTCCTGGGAACTAGTAGAAAATACTTCTGGAAATGCAAAGAACCGGATGCTCGTGGGTGTTACTAGGGAGTACAGCCTAAGTGTAAGGAAGATATTACACAGCTGAGCAGAGCATGTAAGTGTCTGGACTTGAAAGATGTCTCGCTGCTCAGGATGGCAGATGCCGTGGACAAAAAAATGCAAGCTGGCAGTAAACATAGAAGATTCAGGACATTTATCAAATTTACAGATATTTTTTAAAAGCTGATAATGTTTCACTGTGCTATTTACCACGTATCCCGTTAAATGAACTTTTTCATATGAACTTATAAAAATGAATATAATAAAGATCCCCTCTTAAAAGTTTTGGATTACATGTATTGATGAATTTTAGTTCTATCGATGAATTTATTTTAGTTTTCTTTTGTTTAAGAAGAGACTATCTTCAGTCTAAAGAAGAGAAACTACATCATATCCGTTGATGCGCAAGCATTTGACAAAATCCAACCCCCATTCACGATAATACTCTCAACGGACTAGGAATTCCTACTTCCTTATTGTGATAAAGGCATCTGTGAAAAAAACAAAGGCAAGCATTACCACTAATGACAAAAAACTAAATGCTTTCACCTAAGAATGAAAAGGCAAGGATGACCACTACCACTGGTTTTATTCAACATTAAGCTGAAAACCCTGGCCAGTGTGCCAGGCAGAATAAGGAAAGATAGCTATACAGACTAGGAAAAACTCAAACTGGCCTATTTTCCAATAACATGATTACCTGCATAGAAAATTCCAAGGAAGATCAAAGGAAAACAGTCTTGAAGTACTAAGTTTGGTAATGTCACATGACACAAGGTCAACAGGAAATTAATCACATTTCTATGTAGCACTAATAAATAATGAGAAGGTGATTTTTTTTCCTAAGACAGTTTTTCAGAACAGTTTATGGTTCCCAGAAAAATTGAGGAGAAAATACCGAGATTTCCTGTATATTCCCTGCCCCCATACATGCATAGCCTCCCCAATTATCAGCACCCCCCACCAGAATTACAACTGATGAAACAATGACGACACATCATAATCACTCAAAGTCCATAGTTTGCATTAGGGTTCACTCTTGGTGTTGTACATTTGTGGGTTGGACACATGTGTAGGCATGTATCCACCATTATGATATCGTACAGAATATTCTCACAGCCTTTGTCTATTCATCCCTTCTCCCCCACCCACGGCAACCACTGATCTTTTCTCTATACCCATGGTTTTGCCTTTCTCAAATGTCATATGGTTGGAATCATACAGTATATAGCCTTTGCATATTAACTCTTTTATTAATAATTTAATGTCTCTTCATGGCTTTTCATGGCTTGGTAACTCATTTCTTGTTAGTAGTAAATAATGTTCCATTGTCTGGATGGACCACAGTTTATCCATTTACCTACTGAAGGACATCTTGGTTGCTTCCAAGTTTTGGCAACTACGAATAAAACTGTTATAAACAGGCATGTACATAATTTGATGTGGAGATAAGGTTTCATTTTATTTAGGTAAATATGAAGGAGTGCGATTGCAAGGCAGTATGGTAAGAATATGTTTAGAAGTATAAGTAAGTGCCAGGCTGTCTTCCACAGTGGCTCCACCATTTGCATTCTCACCAGCAGTGAGGGGAGTTCCTGTGGCTGCACGTCCTCACCAGCATTTGGTATTGTCAGCGTGTTCCAGATTTTGGCCATTCTGATAGGTGTGTAGTGGTATCTCATTTTAATTTGCACTTCTCTGATGACATACGATAGGAAACATCTTTTCACATGCTTATTTGTAGTCCATGTATCTTCTTTGTTGAAGTACCTGTTTCGATTTTTGGCTGACTTGTATGTGTTTGCTTTCTCATTATTGCTTTGAAGAATTCTTTGTGTATTTTGGATAACAGTTTAAGTTTGTGTTTTGCAAGTATTTTCTCCCAGTCTGTACATTGTCTTGCATTCTCTTGATATTGTCTTTTACAGAAAAGGTTTTAATTTTAATGGAGTCCAGCTTATCAATAATTTCTTTTGTGGATTGTGTCTTTCTTATTATGTCCAAAAAGTCATTGCCAAACTCACAGTCATCTAGATATCTAGAATTTCTTCTAGAATATCTTCTATGAATCTTATAGTTTTGCATTTTACATTTATATCTGTGATCCATCTTGAGTTAATTTCTTGAAGAGTGTAAAGTCTGTGTCTAGATAGAATAATATAAACCATCCCATATGAACATCAGAGAGAAAACATACAGGAAAGATGGGACTATTTCAAAAGATGTAACATCAGAGTCCCAGAAGGAAAGTATAAAAAGAATGAGGCTGAGAAAGTACTCAGAAAAATAATGGCTGAAAATTTCCTAAGCTTGACAAAAGACAATAGATTTAAGAAGCTAAATTGAATTCCAAACACGATAAACCCAAAGAAACATATGCCAAGACACGATGTAGTAAAACTTCTGAAAACTAAAAGCAAATCATCATCATCATCATCATCATCATCATCATCATCATCATGAAAGCAGCCAGAGACAAACAGCATATTAAAGTGGAACCTCCCTGGAGGTGCCTGGGAGGCTCAGTTTGTTAAGTATCTGACTCTTTAAAAATTTTTTTTAATGTTTTATTTACTTTTTAGAGAGACAGACAGACAGAGTAGAAGTGGGGGAGGGGCAGAGAGAGAGGGAGACACAGAATCTGAAGCAGGCTCCAGGCTCTGAGCTGTCAGCCCGGAGCCCAATGCAGAGCTCGAATGCATGAACCATGAGATAATGACCTGAGTCAAAGTCAGACGCCAAACCTACTGAACTACTCAGGCACCCCAAGCATCTGACTCTTGATCTCAACTCAGGTTTTGATCACCATGTCATGAGTTCAAGCCCTGCATTGGACTCGGAGCTTACTTAAAAGATAATAATAAAGTGAACACGCTGCCCTCAAAAAGTGAAGTGGAACCCAATGTATGTTGCTAAGTGAAGCTTAGCAGTCTGGAAAAGCTGTGTGATTACAACTGTATGACACAGTGGAAAAAGCAAAAGTATGACAATAGTAAAAAGATCAGTGGTTTCTGGGATTTCAAGTAGAGACAGGGACAAAAGGAACCGTAGGTGGGGCACAGGAACTTTTAGGGCAGGGAGACTGCGCTCACGTGATACTGTAATGGTAGCTACAGCCCATCATCCCTTATCTGTCTAGCTGTACATCTGTAAAATGTATAATCTAAAATGTGAGCCTGAACTATGGACTTCTGTTAATGACAACGGCTCATTAATTGTAACAAATGCTCCACACGAATGTAAGTTGTTAATAATGGAGGAAACTAGAGGGTGGGAAGGGTGAGACAGGTAAGCAGGAACTTTGTACTTGCCACTAAGTCTTTCTGTAAATGTAAAACTACCCCAAAATAAAGTCCATTGATTTTTTTCAGTGATTGGAAAATCAAGACCATATCAGAAGGTCTGCATTTGTCCACAGTATACCTAGGACAGCTACAATGAAGGAAATGAAGGAATCAAAAAGAAGAACATGGGAAGAGTAAAAATATGGATAAATACAATAGATTTTCTAAATTAGATGGTGGGAGCAAAAATTATAACGTTGTCTAATGTTCCTCAGTGTATATAGAGAAATACGTAACACAATTACATTACAAATGGGAAGAATAGAAAGGAATAAAAGGAGGTGAAGTTTCCACCCCTCATTTGATCAGGAAAAAGGTTGTTGACACAGGATAGTAGTAAATGACATATACATAATGGAATATCTTAGATGAAGTAGACCAGTTTCCCCAAAAGTACACACTACCACAACTCACCCAATAGGAGATAAGTAATTTGAATTGTCTGATAAATTAAAGAAATTAAGTTTGTCATTTAAAAACTCCCAAAAGATACCTCCAGAACAGCTTTATTGGAAAGCTATAGCAAATGTTTATTTCAGGGAAATAAAGGTGATTCAATATTTGAAAATCAGTCAATATAATCTATTATGTTAACAGGCAAAAGAACAAAAAACCTCACAATATAGTACATTAATGCATAAAAAGTGTTTGCCAAAATTTAACATCAATTTGTGATTTAAAAAATCTCTTAGCAAACTAGGAAGAGAGGTGAACTTCCTCAACTTGATAAAAAGCATCTACAAAAATCCTACCATGTACATTATAATTAATTGTGAAAGATTGAATTGTTTTCCCTTAAAATGAATACGAGAGATGTCCATTTTTATCACATAGCAGTAGAAGTTCTAGCCAGGGCAATAAGGTAAGAAAAGGAAATAAAATCACACAGAGTAGGGAAGAAGGAAAAAACTGTACCTATTTTCAGATGACATGATTGTTTATGTATAAAATTCCAAGGAATCTACAAAAACAAAAACCTCCTGGAAATTAATAAATGAGCTTAGCAGGTTCTCAAGTTACAAGATCAACATACAAAAATAAATT